AGCTCTTCAGCTCAAGGCTAGCACTCTACCACTTGAGCCACAGCGCCACTTCCAGCTTTTTGCTTTTTGCTTATGTGGTGCTAAGGAATCCAATCCAGGGCCTCATGCATGCAAGGCAAGCGCTCTACCACTGACCACCTTCCCAGCCCATAAAATTCATTTTTCGACATAACAACTTGTACATCTCATTGTTGCAGTGGGTCCTCTTGTATCTCTGTTTTTACAATTTGTTTTTTCCCTTCCCCTCCACATATACCAACATCATATATAGTGAAAGCAGGGGTTGTACCATGGGGGAGGGACATACAAGGCAACAAAGACATAATCTTATAAATATGTTAGAAACAATTGCATGAAAGATCTCTCTCTCTCTTTTTTTGGTCAGCCGTGGGGCTTGAGCTCTAGGCCTGGGAGCTGTCCCTGAACAATTCAGCTCAAGGCTCATGCTCTACCACTTGAGCCATCGTGTCACTTCTAGTTTTCTGGTGCTTTTTTTTTAGTTGTGATTAAGTGATTACATAATTTCCCAAATTTCACAGTATTGTGGAATAATGATGCTCATTTAAAGTCACAAGTTCATTCTAACTTTGCTGGAGCAAATTGTCTATCACAGTCTATAACATATAACGGTGTACACATATACACCATACATGTGATCAGCAGCATGGGGATATTTAGTAGTGGTTCGACCAGATGAGTGAAAATTCTTTGTTTCTTAAGTCCTGTTAATTTTGTGGTATCACCTAACATTTTGGATTTAACATCCACTCATCAGAGAGACCATGTACCATTTGTCTCTTTGCTCTTGGCTTACCTTACTCAACATGATTTCTTCTAGCTCCATCCATTTCCCTGCAAATGCCATTATTTTGTCATTTCTAATGGCTGCATAATATTCCATTGTGTATAAATACCACAATTTTTTGGATCCATTCATCTGTGGTGGGGCATCTGAGTTGTTTCCATATCCTAGCTATTGTGAACAGTGCTAAACAGTTAACTTTTAAATGGATCAGTTATCATTCCACAAACTTTTGCTGACATTTCACATGCTGCGTGTGCAGTGTGTGTTCCCACATGGTAATTATGAAAAATAGGCACTTCTGCCGGGCGCTGGTGGCTCATGCCTGTAATCCTAGCTACTCAGGAGGCTGAGATCTGAGGATCGTGGTTCAAAGCCAGCCCGGGCAGGAGAGACCGAGAGACTCCGATCTCCAATAAACCACCAGAAAACCGGAAGTGGCACTGTAGCTCAAGTGGTAGAGTGCTCGCCTTGAGCTGAAGAGCTGAGGGACAGCGCCCAGGCTCAGAGTTCAAGCTCCACGGCTGACAAAAAAAAAAAGAAAAGAAAAGAAAAGAAAAATAGGCACTTCTAAATAAGATGAATAACCAGGCATATTTGTACATGCCTGAATTCCAGCATGCAGGAGACTGAGGCAGAAGGACATCAGTTCATTCACCATTAATCATAGGTTAAAATTACTTAAAACAGGAATTTAAGTAATCACAGTATTCCCTGGTATAAATGGACCATCATTTAATTTACTTCAGTAATGCCAGGACCCCCTGGAATAAGAATAACATGGAAGGGAGCAGGCATGCTAGGAGCAGCTGCTTCATAGTTTCCTTTGGGACTAGTGAATGGTTTGGGCACTAGACAAAATGGTGGTTGCATACTTTGTGACTATGCTGAGTGTCTTTTAGGTCACTTCTGTGTGGTTTGTTTCATGTTACGGAATTTTAGCTGAAAAAGAGAAAAGGTATGGGAAACCAGGGGCCACTGGCTCATGCCTGTAATCTTAGCTATTCAAGAGTCTAAGACCTGAGGATCGAAGTTTGGGGCTAGTCTTGGCAGACAAATCTGAGAGACTGTTATCTCCAGTTAACCAGCAAAAAAAAAAAAAAAGCTGAAAATGGAGGTGTGGGTCAAGTGGTAGAGCACCAGACTTTAGCAATAATACTGAGCATACTTGTTCAAACCCAGTTCCTGCACACATTAAAAAAAAAAAAGAAAAGCTTGAGAAAAAGTCATGAACACTAAATTGTATTCATTGCTGTACAGTATACCGTTTGTTGGGAAAAAAATAAGTGTCTTTCTGAATATTTTAAGGTTCTTCCCTTAAATTAGGCTTTTTTGTTGTTGTTATTTATGAAAGACATCCTGTCAACTATAACCTTTTCATTTCTCCTTAATTGAAATGAATGGAATATTTTTAATCACCACAACCTCCGTGTGGGTTCTTGATGTTTCCTATGTTTTCACTGGTTTGTGACAGTGTGTAGCCTGAGGCTGCAAGTCTAAAGAACACAGTGCTTAGAGTCTGAACTTGGGGTAGTCAGCCTCATCCTGCTCGCACCAGCTGTGTGGCCCGAGGCTAGGCACCGGATGTGCCTGGATTTATGATCTGTTTGTGGGAAGAGTACAACTTGGCTACCTAGGCTGGGGTGGGGGTGGCAGGAGTGGAGGCCAGGGCTTTAAACGCAGTTCTATGGGACAAGGTTGGCTACAGAACTTCCAGGAGCTACTGTTATGTAATCTGTGTTTGGCTCTTCAGTTCAGAAGTCAGCAAAACAAAAACTGAGTTGAGGAAGTTACTATTGGATAGTAAATGAATGATTAGAACTTATTAATATCTATTCTTAGAGATATTATCACTATATTAACGTGATCATGTTCATTGTTATCTTACCTGTGAATTCAGTAAAGGCCAACACTGAGTTAAAGTACAGGCATTCAAGGTTTCCAGCGACATTAGGGAGATCAGAGGGGGTTTGAGACAGGTGCTGAAATACGTAAAGCATGCAGTGACCTTCAGTTTTTATGTCTGGGAAGCCTTCTCCCCCACATGTTTGTAACTACTCTGAGTTTGGTTAATCATCACAAATGAGGAATAATGTATTTGATTTCCAAAGGGTCCAATTTTGGACTCTGATGTTTCCTCTTAGTTTGAAACAGTCTTGAGCTTGTTGGAGCTGACTAGTGACTTATGGTAGGTTCTGGACAGGTAGACTTGGGAAATTACTAAATACATGCAAAATAAAAAACACTGGGGACATAAGCCAGGCTTAGAGGGCTCATGCCTGTAGTCCTAGCTACTCAGGAAGCTGAGATCTGAGGATCATGATTCAGTCATCCTGGGCAGAAAAGTCTGTGAGACTTTTACTTCTGATTAACCAGCAGAAAGCTGGAAGTGGAGTTGTAACTCAAATGATTCAAGCCTTGAGTGACAAAGCTCAGGGACAGTGCCCAGTTCAACAGCTTGCAGACCCTCTCATGATTGTACAGGAGCTGGGGCACAAGGGTGAATGTGTAGTACAGTGAACAAGGAAGGACAGCAAGTCAGAAGGCAGCATTTATTTAGTGTATTTAGCATGTATGCTATCTAACTCCCACCAGAGGCATTCAAGCTAGGTATCCTGCTGTTAACTGGTTGCATTGTTAACTGGAGTTGGTGATGCTGATTGTGTCCAGGAAGGAACCCCTGGCCTCAGAGGCTAGCAGGAACTTTTATAGGAAGGAGTGTGTGGCTCTGACTGGACTCTGTCTCTAGACATGCCAAGCTGCCTCCCAGCTTGTAACGTAATATGGTTCAGAGTGAGCTGACATTTACAGAGTGTACACTACAAGTAGATTGTGGCCATTTTAAGTAATTGTCCTTTATCATATGACGCAGGTCTATAACCTTCTCCTGCTTCGGTGCACCCCAGAGGATGTGATGCCTTCCTTTAGGGACTCACTGAGACAGTGGTAAATGAATAGCAAGTATTGATTACATGAAAAATTATAGATCTCAGATAAAATAAACTGTCCAGAAACAGCCTGAATGCATATTTGAGTATCAGCATCAACCTGGCAGATTATATTTTGATTCCTGAATGAAAATTAAGGCCACTGATGAAGTAAGATTAAAATTTACTGATCTAGGTCAGATGCTGGTGACTTACACCTATAATCCTAGCTACTCAGGAGGCTGAGAGCTAGGGATCCAGGTTTGAAGACAGCCCGGGAAGAAAAGCTTATGAGACTCTTACCTCTAAATATCCAACAAAAAGCCAGAGTAGAGCTGTGGCTCAAGAGGTAGAGCATCAGCCTTGAGCAAAATAGCTAAAGAACAGTGCCCAGGTCTTGAATTCAAGCCCTAATACTGGCACAAGAGAGGAAGGTAGGAAGGAAGGAAGGAAGGAAGGAAGGAAGGAAGGAAGGAAGGAAGGAAGGAAGGAAGGAAGGAAGGAAGGAAGGAAACAAGCATTAATGATCTG